ACCCATGCACCAATCAATGACTGTCATAACTTTGTACAACATATATGTAAATAAGTTATACATCGTGCACAGAAAACCAATAACGAATTGGCATCTCAACCTCTCATTCCAAATAAGGTTACATCAACAAAAACTATTTAAGAAGTCATAATAAACCACTGAAAATGCAAGAGAGTGCTATGTTCAAGTGTATAGGGCTTTTAAGAAATATTGCACGTGTCCACAACTGTCAAATGACAATGGGATGGAATGCTAAAGAAAATACTACAGTACAGATATTTTGTAATTATGGGTAAACTAAGCGTTACTTTTATAGAAAATAAGTTATTTTGTACACAACATTACAGTTTTTTGCATCATGGACTATAGAACAGAATCATGACCCTAATTATAACACCACTTGTTACACATGGTAACAGCATCAGGGTCTGCAACATTGAAATTCGTGTACCAACAGTAAGTTTAATGACAAAGAGAAAGAAGATATTTACTGAAGTTTGCTCATTTATATTTAACACTGCAATTGTTCTAGAAGCAACTTAACTAAATGCACTTGTCTTATCAAATGAATGCATGAAAAATGTCAACTTGCCTTTATTTAACCACTGCTCATACATGAGTCAACCGAGTAAGATGTTAGTGGGCAGCAATATTTTATACTACGCCTAATTATTTAGTACACAGTCTTTAAACATCAGAACTGATACCAACAATAAAAAAAAACACTACACCAGCTTTTTTTCATTCAAACTGTTGCTGCTGGTTACATCATACATGCAAATTCTGATTAATATAAATACAAGCAGTATTAAATGGCCAATCATGTACACTGAGTGATGTCTTAGTATGATATCTGTGTTGTGCATGTTTAACTTGGTGCAGAAACCATCTTTTTATAAAGTTTTATAACTGAGCCAGCCATGTTGTATAGTGATATCTGAACATGGAATATTTACTACAAGCTGAGATACCCATCCTTTGTCTGGGTTATGAACTTAAAAAATGTATGCTACGATAAATAACACAAAAAATCCTAACTTTCATACAATTTATTTATAACACTAATATAGAATTCATTATTACCTCACCAAGAGTTTGGTATCCTGGTTCTGTGATGATAGTTCCAGCTCCAAAAGAGGTCATTTGGAAAACATTGTTATATTTTCTAATATTGGTTAGGAAGTTTTTAGACTCTTCAATATTTCCCTGAAGGAGTACATTAAGAGGTGGTGGTGATTCTCTCAAAGGTTGCAATTCAACTTTGCCGTTGTCACAACACAGTCCTGCCTTTTCATTGGGATACCTTTTTGTCCTGCAAAAATCACATTCTATAGATCTTTTTCCAACATCATATGCAGACTCTGATTCATAATCATGATTTGGATCATAATCATTAGCTGTTTTGAAATACATTCTTGGTCTCCATTCAGCAGCAGCAACCCTTCTTTGAGCTTGATATTCTCTACTTTGTTCTCTTCTAGCAGCAATTTCTGCAACCAATTCTTTCACTCTTCTTTTTGTCATTCTGCCAAGATTTCCTTTTTGTGTGGCAGCAGTTTCACCAGCTGTCTCTTGTGCTCTTCTTCTAGCTATCCTTTCCCTATCTCGAGCTTGCCTTGAAGCAGTTTCATCAGCTGTCTCTTGTG